CAAAGGAGAAAATAAATTCAAGAATTACAGGAAGTGGTGAGAAAGCAATGATCTATCAGAAAAATTAATTGTATAAAATGAGTCACTTAAAGCCATCTTTTACTTTGTCTATAAACACATCTGCAGCCTGCACTTATTTCATAATAAGAGGAATCAGTTTAGTACATTGAAAAATTCTGAGCCAGCTGTTCCACTGTGACCAGGCTTCAGCAAAATGCTTTTAACAGCTCAACTGGATGACTTTGGTGTTTAACAGAGGCAAATGTGAAATAAGATCTAAAATATACTTTTTGTGCTTATGCTTATTATGAAATGTTTGTGCCTGTTGCTGTGCTGTTGAGTGTGTGCCTGATCTGTTAGTTCTTAAGTGAATGTGTGAGGTTTTGCAAAACTAAAACCTTTGATATACAAAGAAACAGCTAGACCCAGCAGAACTGATTTTCTTTTATCTTAAAATTGTGTTTTCATTTTGTTACTATCCCTGATCTATTTAGGGCCCATCTTTGCTATGATTTTTGTCAAAGATTTTTTTCTGAATGGTGCAGCTGGTTCATAGTATTTAATGTGGCAGAGAACCTGGAGGTGCAGGGTCAAGACCTGTGCTGCTTAAGGATTTTGAATATCTGTGTCCCTCTCTCAGAGACCTCACACTTGGGCTTGGGGTTTTTTGCTTTAAAGAGGCTGAACCTCTTTTAGAAAAGGGGGGAATAGTGTCACCATGCAACTCTTCCCTACTACAGCAGCAGGGCTAGTCATTTAATACCTTGATTTATAACAGTATTGTAATCTAGGAAGCAGGTGGAGTTACAACTGGTTACGGTACTTTGGATATTAATGGCTTGGCTTGGCAGTGGAATTCTAAAGCTGTATATACTTTTGCTGTTTTAATTATGCATTCATTAAAAGCTTTTATACCCAACAGAATAAAGTAAATATTGTTTGATCTCCGTAGTGTGCTCCCAGACTGTAGATTTGCACAGCAGGGTCTTGATAATCTGAATAAATTGTATTTCCCCAAGGAGTTTATCTTTCAAATAAGGTCATAAAGAAATGCATTCTTTCCCCTTAGTTCTCCTTGTGCTTTTTCTGCTATTTATAACACAGAGCACAGGAATAGAGGTATATTGTAGTCTGCTGTGTACTTGGTTATGATTAACTCTAATTTATCAATCTGTTACATCCTTTTCTGTGGCTTGTGCAAGGCAATTATTCTTTAAAGTAGGAACGAATAAAGATGGTTTTGGAAGCAACTTAAACACAATGTTTATATCTATTTTTCCCTGTTTGACATTTTAGCATATCTCTATACTGAAATGCACCTCTGCATCAAAATATTCACACTGTCACATCATTTATTTTGAATATTTAATATTGTCATCTTTCAGATTATGTTTGTTTGTGGAAGATATTTTCTTTTATGAGGCTTTTAAATGTCAGCTCATTGTTGAATTGGTTTGGCATCTAAAGGTTGGTACTACTGAATCAGAAGACCCTTAGTGAGGAATAATAGATTCCCTTGCTTCAGTGGGGGGATGCACACTAAGTAGAATGCATGGGATCTCTAAGGAAGTTTCTTATTTTAGAAGTAGACATTGATAAATAATTTGGACAATTTACTAAATTGGTTTGAGTTCATGGTGAGATTTCAGAACTATTTAAACTTAAAGTGCTGTACCTGTAATTTTATACATGTTTTCTTAGCCTGAATGTGTTTCAGCAGTGTAACATGCATCATATTTGAACAGATAGGATCACTACCTTCAGCTCTTAGTGACAGCTCTGCTTGTGTCCATATTTCATCCTTCAGTTCAAAAAAAGATAAGTGGCATATACATAAAAGTTTATGAAGAAGGGGTTAAAAGTTTCAAAAATTTTCATAAGCCTGGTTTGTAATGCCTGTTTTCAAAGAACATGTACTGCAATGCAGTACCACAAGAAAGTCATACACTACTTCAAAATTTTGTAGTTGCTCAGTTAATGCAATATAATAAAATCTGTGGAAAGCAGAGACTGCCAGTACTCTTACTCATGGACACACCTAAGTTTCCTGTTAAGTAACCTATTTCACCATTTACCAAAGTTTTTAATTCAATTAAGGTTTTAGCATGAAAAAGTTATTCAAATCAGATTGAGCTGACAGTGATTGCTTTGATCCTTCCTGTGGGACTTTTTTAAAGCTAGAAGATACGGTGCATTTTTCTTTCAACTAATTTTATATACTTCATTTTAGACTGTTTTTGAAAATTTTACCACTTATAAGAGCAAAGTTATGTGATCTAGGGTATACATTGAACAATCTCAATGTGACATTTTTGCCTTCTAGGATCATAACTGAGCCAGTAGTGTATAGTACTGTATAAACCTGATTTTCATTTGTAAAACCTAATGAAATATTTGCCCCTTTGTGTGTGAAATACAAACCTGTAGATCAACTCTAACCTAACAAAATCAGAAATGAACATTACTGATTCCAGGCCAAGGCCAGTTTTAACAAAACACACTTTCAGTATTCATTAACAAGTAGACTGTAAGTTCAGCAGGTAACTACCACATTATGTTAGGAAGCATCAAAAATCATCTGAAACTTAGTAATGAAAATAAGTAAACATGTAACAGCCACCCTCAAAAAAAAACCCCAACTCACATACATAAATAAGCATTTGAAATAACTTACTACATGCAGTATAAGTAACTGGTGAAATTTTATTTATACATCCATAAGTATATTTTGCCCATAAGTATATTTTGCCTCTTTAACTGTAAGACAGCTTTCATAAAAACAACTTTGCTTCTGATTTGAGAGGATAGGGGAGTTTGGAGCTCATGAAAAATATCCAAACCTAAAATGAAGGCTTACTAATGTCTTTCAGATTTCCCTGAAAATGTAAAGTTTTTTCAGGGGTGGATTGCATTTGTGTGTCTCATTACTGATTCTCTCTAATAGAGGATCCTGTTATGTTATCTCCAGTATTTTCCTCCTCTGAAGTCTGCTAAAAGCCACCTCTCCTTCTCAACCAACACTTAGTGGGGTTTGATCAGGCACATATTGTGGTGGGACTGTTGATCCTCAGCTCACAGTGCTTGATTGATTATTTATTTATTTATTCATTTATTTATGCCCCTAGACATAGCCGTTGACCACAAAAGAGCTCAATAAATACACTCTGAGCTCTTCTAAATTTCTTTCTGACATTAGGGATTTTTTTCAATCAGTGAGTTCTTTGAAAAGATAGTTTTCTGAGCCAGAGACAATAAACTGTGGTTGCTGCTTGTCAAATACTGTGCTGTTTGCTTGGATTAGACTCCTGTGTGTTGTTGTCACCATTACATGGCCATCACAGGAGTGGGGTTGTGAGGTGCCATCTGTGATCTGAAAATACTAAATCACCAAGCATGCACAAAGACCAGATACTTTTCATGTAGAATTCATTCTTTTATCTTTCTTTCTGCAGATTTATTCTTACCTCCTCTGTGTTAATGTGAGGAGGGGCTGACACTAGAATAGCTGTGGCTTTTGGGATGATGGCTGTTAATGCTTGTTCTGAAAATGGGAAGAACTTTGTTCTTCCAAGAAAACCATGGGAAGCTCTTATGCAGAAGTCTAAGTAGATAATGAGTAGGATTTATCTTTAGTGTACAACTCTGCTGGGGAGGGTGAACTGTTCAGACTGGGAGATTATGTAACAAGCAGGAACCTCCACAGGAATTTGATTCCATTTCCTCCAGTACTGACTCCTCTGAGCAGGTTAAAAAATTCTTTCTCCACTCTCCATTGCATATGCATAAACAGCTCCACAGTCATCGGGACAGGCACCCAATTCACACGTTCAAGATGTAGTCCATAAAACATTCCAAAAAAACCCCTCTTCGCACTTTCCCATCTTCCCTGTTGCTCTGCTCTATCTGCCAGCCGTGCAGCTCATTTGACATTTACAAGATTTCTTGTCAGTTTCATTTGGTGCTGCCATTCCATCCAGCGGAGCAGTGAAAGTGAAATTGACTTAATTTAGTCTGTTTCTCTTCCTTGCTCCAGTCCCCGCGTTAACTCACCAGCAAAGTGAGACTGACGAGGCTCCTTGTCATTCTCACCCATGGGGCTGGTCAGGGGGAAGGCGCTGATAGGGAGCAGTGCGCTAAATTGGAAGATGAGAACCAGGATTGCGGAGGAGAGGGGAAGAGAGGTGTGAGCATGCAGCAAGAACAGAGAAAACGGGTAAACATGATTATTATTTCTCAGGTGCCCTGGGTGCTTTTGTCTAATAGAGGTGAATTCTTGGGCTGTTCCCTGAAGGGAGCAGTGTGGTCTAGAACAGCAGTAGTTAGTTGTCTAGGTACTGATTTACGAGGGATGCCAAGCTGAAAACGTTTAGCCCGTAAATATTGGTCATCTGTTAGCAGGATGGGCAAAGCTTTCTGCCTTGAGCTACTATAGCTTTTGCTCCTCACATTTTCAGCTGCCAGGAGAGAGAGGAAGCCAACATCCACAATGAAGAAAAATTCATACGTAATAAAATGTTGCTCAACATCTTGTATTTTGTGAGGTTTCATAGAACAAAAGTTGTGCTACACAGGTGCTCTACTTCAATCAAAACACTAAATAATGAACAAACAATTGCTTTGTAACGAACCATTGTAGTTAAAAAATGCATTTTTTTAATCCACTTGTTAGCTCCTGTGAGCTCTCTTGACATACAGTGTAAATCATGCTGGTTTATTATATTATGTGCTAATCCATATTTCTTACAGATGCTTTATGCATAAATAACCTTAGGAGTTGCAATATAAATTAGTACTATCATATATATTTGCATATGCAATGGTAACACATATACATTTTGAATGAGGCGGTATTAATTAACTTGAAGTTATATTGCCTTCCTTATCCACAGCTCCAAAAGAATAACCTTTTTTCATTATCTGAGACCTGTGGATTTTTATATTCTCTGTTTCTGGTTTGGGATATTTTTGTGACGTGTATTTTGTTTGCTTCACCCATCTAGGAATTAAATAGTTTTAATTACTTGGACCTGTACAAGCTTGCGGATCTTTTCAACCTCACTTTGTTGGAGAATGCAGTCATTGGCTTCTTAGTAAAACATCTCTCTGAGCTATTGAAGAGCCATCCTGAAGAAGTTCTGGCACTCCCGTACTGCCTTCTTCGAGAGGTTTTTAAAAGCGATCGACTCACTTCACTCAGTGAAGAACAAATCTGGCAGGTAAGGGGATTGGTGAACAACCAGAATGTGTGACACTCTATAAACCATAGCAGTAATCTGTTGTTTTGAAACCCTGGAGCAATCTCGAGGGAGAATAAGCACTTGAGCAAAAACTGTGAATAACAACTGAGGGAAATTTCTAAACGAAATTCTAAAAATGTTGTGTTGTGTTAATGCAATTACTTTGTTTGAGAGAGAAATTTGTCATGCTGTTTAACTTCTGCTACTTAAATACAGACAGAGATTTTCCTCCAGATCCAACTTCTTTGATAGGAAGTGATGGCTGATGCATGCAGCTCAATTATAATTGCCTCTGATGAGGCTGGTGCCATGAGTCTGGTGGCAAACTTGCTTCTGCAGTCTCTCTCATTCACTTCAGACAAATTTAGCTGCATAACTTAATTAGTCATTGAAATTGTTTGGGCCACCACAGCTGACTTTGCCTGAAGCAAATGGGAGAATCATCACACAGGCAGCACTGCTCCAAGATGAGTGGAAGCTTTGATGGAAGGTTTGTGGCAAGAAGCCTGAGATCACTTCCTTTAAAGAAGCTGGATCTAGAAAAGGACCAAGTTGCTAGCCATAAAGTATTAACAAGATAAAAGCACTGTGTTGTGACGTTTAGTGTGTATGGGCTTGGACAAAACCTAATGTGAGAAAAACACATTGCCTATTAAGAGAAACACAAAAACTAAACCAAAATTTGTCCTTGGAAATGTTCCCATCGTATGTCTGTAAAAATTCACTCTGGAGTGGAAGGAAATCTCTGTAATATTGATTACCCAAAGATATCTTTCTGTTTCGTTTTTGCTGTCATGTTTTAGAGAGGAAAATATTTCAGTGTATTTCAAGGTAGAAGGAAACTTGCTAAAAAGAAATCTGTGCATTCCTTTTAGAAAGTGGGTTGTATTAGCCAAACAGAGAAGACTGTGTTTCAGAAAACCGATTTATTTTTCAACCCCTGTTACCTATTTATTATCTATTTATCTTTTGGATTATTCTAAGGAGATAACTACATTTGGATGCTATCAATTTCTCAAGGTGTAAAGTGTATATTCATCATTGGGATGCTTTATGTTCTGTGGATGAATAATGTCATGCAGGATAAGATATTTATTCTTTAAAAAATAAAAATGCCAGGTTAACCAGTATGAAGATGTAACATAACCCTTCAGTTATGTAGCAGGCATATTTTTTTTTCCAAAATTTTGAGGCTTTACATGATAGAGTATGTTACAAAGGTGATATTTTCTGCAAATACCAAAATGAAGCTAGACTTTTTCCTGTCCTAGTCCCTGGAGGATGCCTGTACAGCAGAACCTGAAATACACTACACATGATGATGGGTTGTGTTTGGTTTAGGTTTTTGAGGCACACTGCTCTGGAGCCCTAGCCCATATTCCCTTTATCAGAAGCAAGTTCTGATGTGCAAGTTTATGCATGGAGCATGGGTGATTGGCTGATTGGGTTTCATCATCATTTCTCTGCAGAGCCAGTGGAATCCCCTAGCTACATGCTTGGGTATGCTTCTGCTAGAAGAGCTTCTATGGGAAGCTATTCAAGTATAACTTAATACTCGCTCAAAACCTGCTACAGTGATGTTTGGGAAGTGGGAGTGTTCAAATCCTGTCTAACTGTCCTGTTCTACAAGACTCAGACTCTCAATTTTCTTAATTGTGTGCACTCCAGTCAATGAACACTTCATGAGGCAAATGTGACAAAGCCTCTGTTTCTGTTGCAGGGTCATACTGGGCAGAGATAGGTAATATGCTGCTTTCTGAGTGACAACAAACTCCACACTGTCCATTTAAGTGTTATCATAATAGCCTCTCTAAAGGTTACTACTGCTGTTCCAAAGATTTTTTTTAAACTAGGTTTCTGCTGCAGGCAAAATGTGCATGCATCTTTTTAATTCAGTTTGTAAAACCAGGAATAAATATATATTTATTAATATTCCAGGTTCCCAGAATGGATTAAAAGACACATATAAATATTTACCAATTTGGGCATTCAGAAGGCAATAAGAAACTGGTTTCTTGCTTTATCTTAGTAAATAAGTAATTCCCTCATAGTCAACCCAATAGAAGAAAATCAAATCAGACCAGCTATATTGCCTCAAGTGTAGTTAAGTTCATCATTTTTGCTAAGGTTATAGTGGTAATGCAATATACCATGGAAGAATCTAATATTCAGCCCAGGGTGAAGATTGGGTATGCCAGAGGATTAGTGTCAGGGTGCTTTATAGAAGTGAAACTTGATGGACAGGCTGGAGACAGATCTACAGAATCTCATTAAATTGCTGAATTGTTCATTACTGAGCACTCTCACTGTAATAAAGTGCTCATTGACTTTGACAAATCCCCATCCCATGTCTTAAGGAAGAACAGCAAAGCAAGAGGTGTTGGGGAAGCTGGAGGAAATTTGCACAAAGTGGGGCAGATAATAGAAAAGCTGATGGGGGGATGCTACCATTTGATTTATCTGTCTCACCTGTGACTAGTGTGGCCTCTGCACACACCCATGGCTGCATGTCACAGCAATATGAATTCAGCATATCCCCAAGGCACCTTTGCTGGTAGGGCTGCCACGAAGCCCTAAGCACAAATTAAAACTTCCCTCAGAGAACCTCTGGAAAGGGTGCCACTGTCTGCAGAGCAGAGTTTTTTATGCCAGTTTGAATTCCCAATGTCCACTGGGTGATCTGGTCCTAGTGCACATAAAGATTAAGATGGTTATTTTAATGCATCAAAAAGTGTATATGGAGTGATGCTTGAATATTATTTAAATGGATTATTGCAGCTCTTACCTGTCATACTTTGGATTTTTCTAGGCAACCAATTCACAATTGGCTAGTTCTAGTCAGTATGGTGAAATGTAACTGTGAACAAACCAAGTCTGAGAAAGTTAAATGGTAATATTAGTGACAGTGTGCTGTGGGTTACTGCCAACTACTACAGAAATTCCTGTTGACTTTTCAGACTTTTTGGCTTGATGTGTCTTATTTTAAATGGAGACAATAGACAAAGACTATAGTGATGTGTTTCTTAAAACAAATAAAAAACCAAAAGCCCCACCAGAAAGCCTGTGTAGGCTGTGAAATTGGATCTATTTATGAGCCTCTTCAAACAGGTCTTTCTTAGGTAAGCTAAGACAGTAATTATAATTATTCATTGACATAAGATATGTTTTCATGTTGATTTTTACATTTTATCAGCGTGTGAGATTATGAAATATTCTTCTACATAAGAATTTTTTTATTTGTCAGCTGCATTAAAATGTGTAAAGTTAAGTCAGTGACATGAAAAAGAGGATTAAATAAAAAAAATTAATTAAACAAAGGAAAGAATCATGGGGAAGGTGGAGGAAACAAACCTTTTTTTTCTGGTTTGTTCTTCTTCATCACGATATGTGAAGTACCCTTCTTTTTTCCACAGGAAGCAGTCACGACAGAGACATAAATGTCTAGTTTATAGTGAAATAAAAAGTGAATCTTTTCATAATTGGCCATTACAAGAAAGATTCATTGGCTGTACTTTAAGGAAGCAGGTGAATTCTTTGCCTTGGTAATTGAAAAAGGAACCAACCCTGTAAGATGGAACAAGTTTGCTAGAGAAATATAGTGGTAGAGGGCTTGTTGTTGGAACCTTAGCAAGTAGAAAGCAAGCTAAAGATTTAAGTAAAAAACTAATTTTACTAATTTTACTAATAACAAATATAATTATGCCTTATATTTGTTATTAGAAGCTTCAGTGTCATGAGGCTTAAATATTCATATTTCAAATATCCTACTAATGCTTAGAGAGAGAAATATTTACTGGATTATTCTGTCTCTGTGCAGTAGATTGGTCAAATGGTTCTGTATTAAATACTGCACTTGATCCAAGGTGGACTCCTAAATCATAATTGGGAAAAAATCTTAAGTGAGATCAGTATAGATTATTTTCTTCCATCCCTGCTTCTGTTTAAGTAGATTGTTAAAGGATATGTATAATTTTTAAGCAGCTAACAATAAAAGCAGGTCAATTTTAGTATTTGTCAATACTTCTTCAGAAGCAAGGTTAGAAGTTTTCCCTTGGCTTTCTTTGGCTTCTTTTTTTTTTCTATTTTTTTTTTTTATATTTTGCTAAGCAACTTGGTTACTTGGTAATCAACTGATAAGCAAGCAATCTAGGAAAAGCTGGTAGATAAAACTGCTTGAGTCATTTCTTCAGTTAGGATGCATGCAAATGTGTTGTGCCTTTTCCAAGGCATTCCTGAGACTTTCTAGCCCTGTTAAATTCCTTGTGTGTAACTTCTGAACTTGTGTTCATGAAGTAATATGTTCCATGTGTCAAAGTGTAATGCTAGTTATTCCTCTTATCCCTGTGGATGTGCAGAAACAAATACAAACAGTATTTGGTCTCTGTATTGGAGAAGTGTCTTTGCTTGAATAAATAGAAGAATGAAGGACAAGAAGACTGCAGTGTTATAGGTCAATATGAGCTTGTAGTGTATCTTTTTATAAAAATAATAAGTGCACAAATCCAGTTTTCTTATTACAGTCCTGTTTATCCTCTTCTGTGCCCTATTTTCAACAGCCTTTTGTTACGCTTGAACTCCATTTTGGATTTCCTGATGGCATTTGTGAAGGACCAAAGTATTTCTTCTGCAGAAATCCCACAGTTCAATGCTGTATGAAATTTTGTGATGTACACATTGTGGCAGCCTGTTATGATGGAACAGTTTGGTGCTGATGACAGATCCAAAGACTTCTTCCATACATCTGCAATGGTGCACACATTTACCTATGCAGAACAGCAGAGTCTAAAGTGGATTGTCATGTTCTGGTACAAGCTTGCCATTCCTTCAGATCAGTACTTGATTTTTTCTTCTGTCAATCTTTCGGTATTACAGAGCAATTTTTCATATGGAGAGAATATAAGTAATTTTTCTCAGGGGTATATATGTATTCTAATGAAATGTGGCCTAAGTGCCTTGCTAAATGTGAACTTAAGTTTTAC